ACGAGGGTGGTGCGAGGCGCGCGATCGTATTCACTCGCGCGATATTAGCCTCGTGATAAGCTGAAACCTTCAGACCTTAGACTTTTAGTTTAGGCTGTCCGCTAAATATTTGACATTTGATAAAAAAATGCGAATGTGCAAAAAATGACTGCGAATATTTATCTTGACTCAGATGTATACCACCTAAAGCATTAGAATCGCATAAATAAAAAAAAAAAAAGAAAGAAAAAATAGGAGCACATTTCTAATTTCGTATTTTTCTTGAAAAATGCGGAATTTGGTGGAAGGAATTAGGGAACAATATTCCTTAATTCGGATCGAGATTTATTTACAAACGCGTTGCATTATATATTACAGCAGTAATTAACAATGGTCATCATAATCGTCGAGGCGAGGATTAACGTGGCGCATCCGCGTTATTCTTGTTCCGAATTAATCGAGTTAAGCGAAGCGTCGCTACGCGTCCGCGAAAAAGCGTCGCTATGCGTCGCGTGATTATTGAGAAAGAGAGAGAAGGAGAGAGAGGGGAGGGGAAAGAGAGAAAGTGAAAGGAAGAGAAGATATGTTTTTCTATGTGTTAGATATGTTTTATGTTTACTTGCATCTTACTTTCGTAGGGTATACGCTAAACTCGCATCAATGTTCGCTACAGTTTCGTATTAGAAATACTTGGCGGGAATTTTTCTACAAGGAGGAGAAATCGGCGGATTATCTCTCGATGTCTCTCGAACGAGCGAAAATGTTACAACTCGTTACATTTAACAAATCAACAATAATCGTTGCGTATAATATAACAAAAACAAGATCGTATAAAACGGATCGTGCGTGTCTAATACTATAAATTAAGACTTGCTCCATCTTGATTGTTCTCGGTGAAAAGACTTTTTTTGAGAATAAATAGAATGAAAAGCACGAAAGCATTTTGATGTTTGATGATTAGTTTTTTTCATTTATTATTATCATTTTATACAAAAACACTATAAAACAGGAATAAATTTCTAATTCATTTGTATTTTCTATATAGGATGTTTATCATCTTTCGTTTATGTTTTCAACAATGTGCGATACAACTATTAAGATTAATTTTAAAAACTTGCTTTTAAACATAAAATCATATAAAATTTTTAAATTGTATAAATGTATAATAAAGTAAATAGAAGCATTTATACATATAAATTATTTTGATTTTTTTAATAAACCATAATTTTTACAAAAACATTTGTTTTAGAAAAACTAAAAATTATTTAAAAACTTAAATATATATGTCAAAATTTATAGTAAAACAATATTTACAAAAATATTTCAGTTTCATATTTCAAATTAAGACTAATAGAATACAGGAAAGTCGTTGATATATCTTTTTATTTCTGCATTTTTAAACAAAAGCTAAAAATAAAATTTTGAAAACATAATAACAAAGAACGTGTCTTCTAAATAATACAATCTTTATAAACATGTTTTTAACTTTGGAATAATTAACATTTACAGCTACACGAATTTAAATGCATGAGTCACTTATCGTCACTGATTAGATAACAATAATAAGTTGGATAAAAATATCAAAATATGCCATAAAAAGATATTAAATTATGTAAATTAATTAAATGTAAAATGAATTAAAAAACTGTGAAGTAAAATATATATTTCTACATATTAAATAACGAATTTTATAAAATTAAGAAATTTGAAAATTTTAAGAATAAAAATAATTTAAAGATTAGAAAAATTAAAATAATAGTTTATTAATAAACAGTATTAGCATTAGATATTATTATATCTAATTAACATTAGATGCATCAGTTTTTGCTGCATTCTGATTTTATGTTTAAAATTGTACTTGTGAGAAAAGTAAAAGAAAGAAAATATGAATAAAACAATTTTTGGAAGATTAATATTAATAATTTAATATTATTAATATACTATTATTATCTTAGTACTGTTTAAAGTACATAGTTTGCATAAGAAAATTATAAAAATATTATTCTCGTATTTAAAAAATGTTTTTAATCAAAACTGTTTTTATATAAAAACAGATCACAAATAAATGAATTATATGTTTTTAATTTTTTCATTACTTAAATAAATCATGTTCTTATCAATATTATAATAAAGCGCAATGTTTAATTTCAAGATAGAGACTTTTTTTAGGAGACTTATGTAACTATTGAGGATTTTCCTTTACTGTACAAAATGCAGACATTTGCAATATACATTTAACAGTAAAAGATATAAAAGAATTAAGGATTTATTCCGATTTTATTTTTTATTTTATAATTCCTTTTAATTTATACTTTTTAAATGTAAAATTATATATATTAAATATATTTTTAATTTTAACTTTTTAGATTGAAATGTATTTTTCATTCAATTCATTCAAATTCAAATTCACATTTCCTCAACAAACGATCAGAGCGGATAAGATTTATTGAGATTGAAGGTACTCTTCAATCTCAACAAGTTAAACTACCAAAGTATTATTAAGCACGTGTAAAGTATTAATAAACACGTAACTGATTATAACGTTGGAAACGTCGTTCAAAAAAAGTTAGGAATTTTTATCCTGTTTATCATGCAAACTGCAGGCAACGCCAGATTTTTGACGAAATAAAGCAATTTTAGCAAGACAGAACGTAATAACATAACGTAATTTCCGATAATTCCTTTAAAAAAATGTCTTTATGGCTTCCCCGTAGTAATATATTAGAAAAGGATTCGCGTCGACTGGTGTTCCAGCGGATCCAGCCACGCGTCTTCCATTTCATCGTATCGATGCTTTCGCCGCTCTCGTCCGCGGCGCGACGCCGCGAGATGCAACGAAATCGCGTCGTCGGGGGTTCGTACGCGTCTCTACGTTAGCATTCAGAACATTTCGGGCTTATTTCGCACGGCCGCGTCCCAAAGAAGAGATTTGCCTCCGCCAGAAGAGCTTTTTTTTTCCTCTCTTTCCCCACCGTGTCCACCCCCGAGCACGCCCGCCCGCCCGCCCCATAATATGTGGCATGTGAGAGAGGGTTGGTTATCTCATCAGAATTGGACTCCTCTAGCATCCAGCTTCGCGTGCACGATCCGGTCGAGAGGACCCTTTGCGTCCGCCCTTTGTGGGATTTCGGGGCCGTATAGCCGAGTTATCGATTTCTGTTTCCGTTCGCCGCAGCTCCGACTCCGCGGTCGCGAAGTTATTTTCCCGATACGGGCTATACTCCTCGAGTCCGATATTTTTCGGGCGAGCACTTCAATTATACATATGCTGTATGTTTTTTTTTTTTCCCCTAGTTGCGGATTACGTTATTCCGTCAAAGAGATCACTACAAAACGATTGCCCCCTAGTCCTCGTCCTTCGAGAGAAAAAGCGTCTTGCGTTCAATGACAGTACTAACTCACTTCCGGTTTCCGAAATATTTACTCAAAAACAGAACGTGCAACTCTCGGCGATTATTACAATTAGATCACTGCATGATATGTACGCCATTTCTCGGCGATCTGGACACGGCCGTCGAGTTCCTCTGTTGTTCGTCCTGGAAGTGGATGGCGTCTTCTTTGACGACACCGGTGCTCAGGTTCACGACCGTCGTTTGGGGGATCGGGGAGAGCATCGGGGCTACCCGCCACCAATCGGCGGTCGGCCACGCGGCCGGCATCAGGCTCCCCCGGAAGTTGAGGTCCGGGAGAACCGGAAGCGGCCTTCATATGACGTGTCCACGTTGTAAGCTTGAATTCGAGCTGCTGGAAGTCGACGTCAGACTCTGAACGGAGAAGGCGCTGTCGACCCTACCGCTCGATGTCGAGGACGACGATGATGACATTGTCGTTGTCGTCGTCATCGTCGTCGTCGTCGTCGTCGTCGTCGTCGTCATTGTCGTCGATGATCTTTCTGGTTGTTCCGTAGACGGCGACGAAGACGAGGACGAGGAGAAGCGATCCTGAGAACGCTCCTCCTGATGATGATGATGATGATGATGATGATGGTGATGATGATGGCTCTCCAGATTGGCGGAGAAGTCCATTTCGAGTTTTCGGTACCGCGATTCTTCCCGTTCCGCGACGACGGCGTCCTCATCGGCTCTTGCTGGGCTCGGGAAGGGCGGATCGTCCATCTTGGACGGCGGGAACGGCCTTTTGGGCTCCTTCGGCGGGCTAGGGCAGCTGCAATTAGGTTGTAGACAGGTGGCTGTCGACAAACTCGTCGGCCAGGACATCGTCTGGTGACTCGGATAAAAGGGATTGCTCGTGTAGAGAGCCTGTAAGGCCAGATCGGCAGCTAGCTTGCCGCCGTTGAAGTCGTCGCCCAGCTTGTGCTGCAGCGGGTAAAGCGGATAGGCGAACGGCGGGAAGAAGCGTGGAATTTTCAAGTCTTCGTGCATCAGTGGGTGGTGCGTCGGAGGTGTCAGTGGTGGCAGAAGACCGCGCGACAGATTGCTCAGTCCATCACCGGGCGATATTAGCGGTGATATTGAGAAGCCGAACTTGTTCTCCTTCTTCACCAGGGACTTTGGTTTCCGGCGCGGCCGGTACTTGTAGTCGGGATGCTCTTTCATGTGAAGAGCTCTGAAAAGTGGATGAGTAATTTGTAACATTGTTGCACTGCGAGATCCGAGTGGAATTTCCTTCGTGTGTGCTATATTGATGATTGGGTAATATGTTTGTGTAGCAGTGGTAATCAATTAATACCTAATGATGTACATACAATGATTAATTAATATCTAATGATGTACGTACTTTATATATATTTTACTATGTATTTACTATGTATTAGATATCGAATTGGAAAGAAAAAAAATTTTCAATGTAACAGAAATTGTACAAAATTTTAATTTAAAAATGACAATACTAATTTAAAAAAAAAAAAAAAAACAAAAGAGATTCAACTTTTGCATAATTTAATATTTAAAGTCTTCAAAATATTTGTATATTTAAAATTATTATTTAAATAAAAATTAGCGAAATTAATGCATATTGCTTAATATATGCATTAAGCTCGTTGCTTGATTATTGCATCTTCGGAATAAATATGTAATAAAATTTAAATAAACATTTGGTTTGTTCTTTTTATTATAGAGATCTAAATTCAATGTGTCGGAAGGGAGTATAATTGTTTTGCTGTCTGTTTCATTAAATGATGCTTTCAACACAATGTTAGTACTACATAGCAAATTATTCCAAAGCATTTATTCTCCGAATTAGAAATGATTAAAACTTGTTTCACTATTAGTATTTTTAACAAAATAAATAAATTTTGAAAATTATAAAAGCAAGGCACATCACAATTAGATCACAAAAATAAAGTTTTAAAAATCAAAGAGATAATAAATGCTATAGAAGATCAAATCAAGACTAATGTAATATCCTTTTGATCATTGACTAATGAAGATTTTAATAAAATTCAAAATTGCAATTTCAATAGATAAATAATTAAGATGCATAATTAAGAAATTTAAATAAATTTTAATAAAAAGCACAACTATATTGTCATATATAGACATTCATATCTATGCTACATTTGTCTTGATTTGTTTATAATCTTTCTGTGAAGCTAATTATCATTTATTTAATTAATAATCAAATTCGAGCTTGTACCTCTAGCGATTCAATCATGCCGGCAAAGTTGGTTTTTGTCAAAATAAGTAAATCATGTTGTTTGCTATTTTTAATTTTTATTTCGATATAATGTAAATAAAACATTATTTTTATCATTATGTATGTAGAAAATCAGATCAGACTAACAAGTGTTCAAAATGGAACGCTCTGCAGAGAACATTATGTCTGATTTATGCGTCTAGTTATCGCAAGATCTATTTAAAATATCGTTTTTTTTCGCAAAAAATAGGTTTTTTCCTGCAGGAGACGGAAAAATTAACAGAACTAACAGGATTCAAATTCAGGACTCCTCATCGACAATTATTTATATACGAATCATTTAAAGATCGCTTACAGTCATTTAATTACTTGCACTTTTTTCTGTTATTTTTTTCTTATTTTCTATAAAAATTATTAATTTTCAGATAATCAAATAATTATAATTTTTTAAAACATTATTATACTATTTTCTCGTAAATACTAATCTTGGAAATACTTGGGAATACTATTTGAATACTTGGGAATACTATTTGAAGTTGAAAGGATTCTTTTTATGCAAATATAAAAAAGTTGTGAATTTTTTATTGCAGCATTTTGTATTTTATCAACTCTACTTCAAATTCGGATTCATATAAATAAAATAAAAATATGTTTTGGATCAAACAACTGTACAATTGTATCCTTAATTATTGAAAGAGTATAATTTTTTCAGATTTTTCAGAGCCTAAAAAATCTTTGAAAAACACAATTGTCAGCGATGCAGTTGTGCCAAATAAGCAATGAAAAAGTGCCTTGGAGAGTTAAATTTTTTGTTTGTTATGTTTCCCAATAAAAATTTTCTATTAGTATGTATGTATCTTTATGTTATTGTTCGATCAGGCTTTTAGTTTTCTTAAAAAATTTTTTGACTTGGGCAAATTTTTAAACTCTCTGACACTGATGGCCAAGGACTACAAAATTATTTCGATCTCAAAAAAAAGGAATCGGAATTGAATATTACTTTATAAATGTCTTTTCGAAACACCGTGTATATTTATGCTTCTTTCTTTTTATCGTGTTTACATTACAGCGCGACTATCGATTATCGCAAACGCTAACACCTCTCCACAATTTTTGTAAACTGTGCTCTCACCTTCCCACGTACAATGGGACGTATTATCACCAGAACACGATACGGGGCACCATAGGTATTTGCAGTAAGTATCTTGTACACACACCCCGCAACGGTGAGGACGAGGGGGGGAGGGGATAAAAGAGGAACAGCGGTATCTCCGACACATAATACTCCATTATGTACCCAAGAGGCGCACAAACGTAGTGCTTATTTATGTCTCACCTCGTGGAGAAATAAAAAAAAAAAAAAAAAGAAAAGAGAAGGAGCGAAAGAGGAGGATTGGAGATACGTGGGTTTTTTCGTAACGGCGGTCGTCGCAAAGAATTTCGCCGGAAACTACCAGGACAATGCAGTCGGAGGCACGATGACGATAACGTGGTGTATTTTCTTCGCGCTTTTATAATAATGCATTTAACGAAAGTAAAGTCATTCTGTCATAGCTACCGTTGCATGTTTTTTTTTTTTTTGCCTCAAATATAATTTCCAATCGACGTGACACGAAATACTAATTTGGAAAATAGCTTCTTTTTTCACGTGAACCAATTTAGCCATGATAATATAATAGAATGAAATTCCCTTGATGTCCGCATACCGATCAATTTCCACGGGAAAAGCGCGAAGAATTTCCCGCGTGACGAAAATTCGACGTTCCACGGGGTTGAAACTGAAGAGGGGGTAGGGGGGGGGGAGACGAGGTGCGCGGGGCGAGAATGGCGGAATGCCACCGCGATCGCGGAATAATAATTCCGGGGGACAATGTGTCCCGGCAGATAGCACAAAGCGTAAATCAGCATAAACATCGGTAAAGCCGCGCCGACAATAACTCAGCATAAATGCATAAACATCGGCCGTAATCTTTACAATTCCAACCTCCGCACATCCCTCCTCCGCCCCCCCCCTCCCCTCCCCCTGCCGTCCGTTCCGCTGGCGTTACCTCTATCTAGCAGTCGATAAACAACGCGCTATATCATCCCGCGGTGACATAAGCTACGCACTTTCTCGTTGCGTTGCGACAAGAAACAATAACAATTAGTTACGATTGTGGCCGTGCGGGCGATCGCGTCGTCCGCGGATGAAACTTCGACACTTTGTATTGCAACGGGAAAGTTTATTTCAGAGGGAATTTCAACGATCGACCGATTTCATCTTTCCTTGCCGTTTCCACGATCGGAAGGTAGGAGTATTTCGCTTGTCATTTTTTTGGGCCCATTTTGCGTGTTACGATTTATCTTGTACAACGTGACTATTCTTAAACGTGATTATTCTTAAGTCTTAAATGTATTTCGCAAAATTTCGTTTATTTAAAAAAAAAAAATCGATTTTAATTTTAATAACGCTATTAAGAAGCTATTAAGAGATCACATCTTTGTGAATCGGTAATAAAATTATAATGCAATTAAATCGAGCCAATTCTTCACTTTCATAAATGCAAATAATATAGAATTTACCCGATTACCCGAATCGGAATTGTGTTTACGTCTTACAATTAATCATATTAATGGATTTCTCGTTGTGATATCAAAGGGACGTTCATATGCAACATCAAAGCGTGTAAAAAGATCCGTTTCACCGCGACGAGAGAAGTGAGAAATCGTGAAGAGGCTGCGGAACACGTAGGGGGTTAAAACGGCACGGTAGAAAGTAGGGGGATGAGAGGGAAAGAGGAGGGATATGCGAAAGACGAGAGAAGGAGAGGAAGAGGGGGGGGAGGGAGGGAGAGAAAAAGAGAGAGAGAGAGAATCGTTGAGCGCGGACGGTGGCGGCGATAGCGGGGGTGCGGAGAAGCCGGGCAAATCCTTTTAAATCCACACAATTGCGACAATGGGGCTTTATTTGTTATCTCGGGGGCCACATTGTGAGTCGCCGTGAACGAACGGACAGATTACGTCGGGCCAGTGACGGCGCGGGTCCAAGGGAACCCGTTCCTACCGACGGCATCGCTCCAAGGGAACGACTTTACCTCCCTCGCGTCCCTTTTCCACTCCTCCCCCCTCTTTCCTTTTATTTTACGGCCGCCACCCTACTCTCGTCGACGTCGCTGCCATCCGCCAGAAAAGCGGATTCGCCGTTACACGTTCGCGTCGAAATTTCCCTCGGATTGCCCATACCTCTCGCCCCTCCGCCCTCCCTCCCGCCGTCCCTCTTCTCGTTTTCTTTCTTTTTTTAGAAATTTTCGATGGGAAAATGTGGCCCTTTGTTTGCGCTTTTGTATCATTAGCAACTCACATGGGCATACCGATAAAGAATTTAATAAAAATTTTTTTATACTGAATGCAAGATGACACAAAACATGTTGTCTATATATATAAAACATAACAAATACTAGTAAAGTATAAGATGTTAAATGTATGTTGATCGAATCGAGTAAGTTTGATAAGTAAGTTTGGTTAATTGAAATATGACAAATTGTATCTGTGCAGAGTGCTATTGCGATTAATTATTATTTATCGATGCAGTTGCAGCAGTCAAGGAAATGACGTTTTCTGCATACGAATATAATGGCGGTCTATTTAACGCATATGTTGATCTGTTTAAGATAACATCGGTTTTTTTTTTTTCGGTATTCTCGCCGAAAATTTCAGCGTTGTCGCGGGACATCCGTCCGACTTCTTCGCTTTTTCTATTTCCTTCTTTTTTTCCCCGGCGGGGTGGTATGTAAATCGAGGTCGGGATATTTTGCAACGCGGGCACGAGGTTAGAGCGTGGAATCAGTTTAAATCTTGTTCCTCGAGACGAGATCGAAAAGCGAGAGAGCGGGGATCGTTCCCAAATTTAATCTGCACGCAAACCTATTCCTCTCCCCCCATCTTCTTTAACCCCGATTTTTATTTCAAATATTGATCTGTTCTTAAGACTCGTATTATTATTATTATTAAGACACGTATTGTAGGAGGGTTTAATTTATTTTGTAAAATCCTAATTAGATCACATATATAAGTAAAATAGTTGCACAACAATGTAATTTATAATGCTAATTAATATAATATTATAAAACAATAAGTTGAAAATTATTCAAAAAATATTAAAATAATATTATTTTTTGCATTTTAGCATACCTTATAGAAAGATTCTATAGAAGAAATAAGGTGCTTTATTGATAGTTTTTCAATGTTTTTATGAGAAAAATAAATATCATAATTTATCAGAATTAGCTACTTTATTTCAGTAACAAATATTATCGTTATCAAATTTCTAATAATATCTTTCTAATAACATTTTAAAAAGTCATCATATTGAAATTACGAACTAATATATTTAATAATATCGACACGCTTTCAAAGCTGTGCTGAAACAATAATTTCTTTTTACGCGTATTGATTATCAAATTAATACTGCTATCTCTTCCGACGAAATTGCATTTACGAGATTGTAGAACATTATGCGACTTCGCAAAATTACAAGATGTTACGAGGACTCTAGAGAGGAAGATTTTCACGAGATTGCCGGGACCTCCATTTCGAGGGGGGCCCTTTTAAGGACGCGCCGGCCTCGAAAAATCGGCCGCGGCCGCTCTGGCGAGCTAAATAAACTCATAACAGTGATTAAATATTCAGGGCCAGTAATAAAGAGCCTCGTCTCGCCCGCCCTATAAATACCGGCTACGTCTCACCCTATCTCAACCCGGATTTAGCGCAGCTTGTTCCCTAAGCTTCATAATACAACAATGTACTGTATTATGAAGTATGAGACGATCATGTGGCACGTTTTCCCGCCGTTTTCGATCCCTCCGATTCTGCTTCCGACAGACCCTACCTCGATCAATGCAATCATCTGGAATATATTATCGCGACTAAGAAGCAATTAGTACCGCGACAAAAAAAAAAGAAAGAGATCGATTTATCTGTTGAAAAAGATATCGCCAGATATTATCATATTTTTCACGTTTTCATATTTGTAAACATATTTGTAAAACATTAGGAAAAATAAAAAAAGGTAACAGTTAATATAAACAATAACAATATATTTATATTGCAGAAATTAAATTTACAAAGTAAAAATTAATATTTACAAAGTAAATTAATTTCAATAAGTTGTTAAATAAGAGAAATGAATATTCAGGTTCAAAAAAATGAAAGATGTTATTTGAAAATTCCTAAAATGTTTGGGAACTTTTGTGTGCAATGACGTGTGTGGTGATATTATTACTTTATTATCACAACTAAAAATGTTTAAATTATGATAAATAAAATTTGTTTTAAATATTTATGAGTCAATATTTAAAAATATCGACATTTGTTGAATGTGATCTTAATCTTATAAAATGCGATATTAATGATAAATCTTATGATAAGATTTCTCTTCAATTACAGATTTTTCTTCACATATTTTAAAATATTTTATCATAAAATTTTTATTTTTATCTTTTTTATCAAGCTCTCTTTATGCTTATTCTCTTTATCATTTGTAAACTTGCAAGAGGATATAAAAATAATTTTTTAATTCATTAATATTTTTAATTCATCAATTTTGTAATTTAATTTATTTACTTCACTTATCATCTTATACTTTATTTTCTATTTACTATACAAATAATATAAGAATGATTTATTAAAAAATTGTTAAATTATAAGTTAGCAGTGAAAATGTAAAGTGAAATGATAAGAAAGAATTAAATAATTGCTTTTTAATTATCTAATAATAATCTCTTATTTACATTAATTATCTCTGATTATCTTCTTTATATTCTAATTATACTCTAATTATAGCCTAATTATATTCTAATTATGTCTTAATTAATGTTTCTAATTTATTTTTAAACGCATATACATTGCAGAAAATAATTATAATAATTATAGAAAGCGACGTTGAGTTGCTTTTATTTTGAAAGTAATACACTCTGTTTGGAAAAATATCAAGTTTAAAATAATGTAATAGAGAAAATAGCTAGTAAAATAAACACTTTTTTAATAAATCACTTCAATGCTTTCAAGATTATAAATGAAATATATATATATATATATCAAAATTAATTTAAAGTTGATTATACAGATGTAAGCTAGTTTTCAAAGTTACTACTCATCATCAGTGTTAATGTCTCATTAATAATCATAACTCAAACTAGATAATATATGTGTTTAGGGGCATTGTGTGTACAGCGTGTTGTGATATGACCAGCATTTGTTTCATGGGCCTCACCTCAATCTTTTTGCTTCATCAATGAATGGGCGTTTTTCGCTCTCGCTCAGGAGCTTCCACTCGGCGCCAAGTCTCTTCGAGATCTCCGAGTTGTGCATTTTCGGATTTTCCTGTGCCATTTTACGACGTTGACCACGCGACCACACCATAAAGGCGTTCATCGGCCGTTTAATGTGCTCGTTGTGCAAAGTCTTTGACGACATCTCCATGAATCACTTTTTTTTCTTGATGCTCAATCTAATTGCTTCTCTGATTAATACACGACATCTCCGATGATTTTAAAGTTTGATTAATCACTCCTATTTCAAGTGAATCAGATAATTTCTCACGCATTTTGCCGACAAAATTCCGTAGATCCCAAGAATTATTTACTAAGATTTTTTTTAACGTAACTGAATCTATAATCGTTGTAATCATAGATTTTTAAGATTCTATTTATTGATTAATTATTAAGTTAAATTGGATCTTTTGAAGCTTTGTTTGACAGATTGTTGAGTATTATATATATGTCAGCATCAATTATTAATTGAGTTTGATTGATCAATTAAATCATTCTATCCTTGAGCTTTTCACATTCACTACACGAAAATGCTGTTGACATTATTTCTTAAAGTTTTGGGATAATTCAGAATATTTCTAAATTTTTTTCTAAGTTATTCTATTTATTCCAACAAGTATATTAGTGTCCTATAAAAAGATTGGACATTCGAATTAACAAGTAAATTGTTATGCTTGTTCATAAACATTGGCTATGTCTTTAAAATCTTTGAACTGATAAATCTTCGCTCAAGAGTGATCTTCAAGGAATCGTGTTTATCTCAGAAATTTAAAATATTTCCAAAAATATTTATGGTTTGGATCATCAGTTATACCAGTCTTCTAATTGTTGAATTTTTAAAAAAAAATATGCAATCGTCTATTGATCACTGAATATTTTTGCACGAAAAATTCTGTAGCTTCCTGATGTGTTCTTGAACAATGTCACAATGAACTAAATTAATTTTTAACTCAGAAGGTTGTGTCTTCTTTCAATCATCACAATACAGCTATTTAGTAATTCTTTCTGAAGGATTGTTTTTACGCTCTTGTCTCTTATTTTTTTCGAGCGAGGACTTGGTCTGACGGATACGAGTCTTTTGGTGCACTGACAGGATCGCGGGGGTTCCCTTAGGAACTTCGCGAAGCACGTAACATCTGGGGCGAACCCGCGGGACGGAGCTTTTGCCGGTGCGGTTCGGCTCCTGTAGGACGTGGGGTAAAATAAGACGGTGAGCCAATCGGACGCGGTGACGCGGCCCCCACCATTTACCGCAGCCAATAGATGGTCGCGATTGGCCGCCGCGTCGGCATGGCGGTCCAGAGCGGATACGCGAGTTCGTGCAACAGGTGGAGAGAAGCTTCTATCTCCTCCGTTTCTTTCGCCTTCTCTCTTTCTATTCTCCTCCCGCACGATCACGAAGACAACGACGGCGGGGTGTGGGTGCGTTTGTCGCGGGGATTATCGCGCCGCGCCGTCGCCGCAGTCGCCTTTTTGACCTCTCTGCCTTCCGTCGGTGGTCAACCAAGGGGAGAGAGGGATATGCACCCGATTCATTGATACTTCCGAAGACAACAACGGACAGAGAGAACGAAAGGATTTTAGGAGAACGCGAGAAGAGAATGGAGAATATATAGCTATGGAATTATAAGTTGCACTCTTCACTTATTGCACTAATGCTCATAATGGTCATCGTTTGTTCTTCTTTAAGATTTGGTGAATAACAAAGATGAAATGATTCTGAGAGCGTTAATGGAACGCAGAAGTATATTCAATATCTCTTTTGTTTTAATTAAACAGTTAGACGCTATAATGCGCGCTACGCACGCGTTATTTTTTTATTTATTTTTTGCAAAAATTATATAATACTGTTACACCATTAACCCTTTGTCGCGACACATCTGTCAAAACAATTTTCGCAATGACAGCCGCTCATGAAGTAAGCGCAATAAGAGAACCAATCAGCGTCGCGAAAAAGTAGCAACAATACTTCGAGAAATGCGAGTATCGATTTGCATTAGAAAGGATTCTGACAGAATTCTTTTGTTTCCTTAATTTTTTTTTTCTGTAAACGATATAACCTTTAATATAATTTTATATCCAATTCGACATTCTTTAGCAAAAAGAAAAATAAAAAATATATAATGATCATGAAAAAATAAGTGTATGTACTTTAATGTATTCTGGAATTTTTTTGGATAGAATCGAAACGTAAGATGAAAAAAGGTAAAGATAAATAAAAAGATAAAAATGCAGTCTAGCAAAGATCGCATTAGTAGTTATGTGTAGCTACTGTAAATATAATTAAATATCAATACATTTTATACGCTCACAATGATAAAGTATAGAGATACAACAAGCCCAGAAGAGAAATGCAGAGTTGGACAAACATACAAAATAATGCCGCTGATGCGTTCGCCGATCAGCCGGTACTTTCGTCATCAGGCGGAGAATTTCTTTTCTCGCTTTGTCTGCTGCGAGATACACGGGCGAAGAAGGCGAGCATAGAAGACCAAGCCTTGTAAATAAATGTTATCAGTCGCGGCAGTGTCTTGCCATAAGGCGAGAAAGAGAGGGAAGATGCAACGAGAAGGGCTGCGGAGAAGGGGGGGGGGAGGCTGGAAGACGTCTCGAGTGATAAGACGATAAAGAGAGAAGGTATAAAATGAGACAAGGGGGCTGGTGTGCGGGCGACAACATCTCCCGGTCGCCATAAAGAGGGGACTGCGCCGCCGCCATTGAATTTCCGGAAGGCGCGGGAATATTCATCTGCCGCAGAAAAGCGAATCTGTGTCACGCCGCGGAAGGAGAGCTGGCTACGTTCCGTTGAAAGAATGAAAGAAATGAGTCGCTTTTTAAAATGCGGAATGTATTTCCATTGAATACAGGGAACAAATATATGTCTTATAAAATATATGCTCAAAAAAAATTGTGATGACGCAGAGTTTACAGACTCTCTAAATTTTCAGCGAGTTTTCAAGTTATCTTAATACAAAAATAGAGAGATAGTGCAATTTTTTAAAGATGCAAAATATATATATATATATATAAACAAATATTAAATAAGTTAAGAGAGAAAAAGATTAAAAGAATAACTTCTTCAAATTTTCTTGATATTTCGCCGAGATCAGAAATAAGATGAGACTCGCTCGTCAGATCCCTTTTAAATTACACGCCTCAATTTGTGATCAATCCAGCGTGACAAGGAACAAACATCGTTGCCGTTATTCCTCGGGGTAGTATAATGAAGGATCATCTACTCCAGAGTAGATAAACGGGCGCGATCGGCTGTCACGCGGCCCCATTATTAACCGCACAATAAATTCGCTCTCCAACGGTGTCCGTCAATGAGCGAGATACAGCGATCGACTGTCGTTCCAGGGGCCCTTTATCGGCCCTCGTCTCTTCGTCATACATTCTGTCATTCACGAGGCGTGAACGCGCCTTTTATCGCACATCGCCGACAAGAGCCGTCAGTGCGAGGGGTGTGACGGTGTCTTTTTTTCAGGCAATTCAACAACACACAAAACCCCATATTTATCTACTGTACACTCTACGAAACAATTAAACGATTTTTCTTCATAATGGCCACATTTATTCGGCAAATTTTCTCTCCTAAAAATTGTTCTAGAACAAAATGAATAAAAAGATCTCTTCTGATTGAATCTAATGTAATTAATAAGGTGTATCAAGAAAATAATTAATCTCAATTATGTCATTAAAATATCACTTGTTTAATATCAATTTGATTTAAAATTTCGCTTAATTACATCTTTTTTACGTTCTTCTCATAGACAGTGATCTTTAACTTTCTTTTATCTACGCTACATATCATACTTATGTTACTTTATTCTAATTTTTTAAGAAGGACTGTTTTTTTTTACATTAAGGGCCAAATATTGTATACGGAGAAGAATTGAGAAAGCGACAACACTTTCAAAGCACAGAACATGACCGTGTAAGCTAAGTGATTTTTCGCAATTCCAACATCACGAACAGAGAAATAGTAGGAGGGGATAAAAGAAGGGGTATTTTATTACTCTACCCCACGGTCTCGTCCTCACTCGAGCATGGGGGTGCCACGCGACCACTGATTATACCATTCATCGGCTGGCACGGTCCGAAAGAGGGTTGCGAGCGTAAACGCCGTAACATCTAACGTACCCGCTTCTCCTTCCCACTTCTTGTTTCCCGCTTGTTTCGACCTGAATGCTCTCTCATCAATGAAACAATTCGGCTTCTCGACGATCTATCGTCGGCTCCTTAAGATCCTCTCCTTACCCCGTTAATTAGCAACTTGCGCCTAATGAACATGGCATATATTTTACATATGTAAAATTTTAATGTTTGCAAATAGTTTTTCTCAAGCATATGTATTATAATAGAATAATATGTACTATAATAGAATAAAGAAATAAGGTATCAGACGTTATTATTAATAAAAATTGTAAACAAATAAACAATGTATATTAAATATTT